CCGTCCATCTCTCTTTCAGCTCCGCGTCCTCCCCCTGCAGGTCGGTTTACTTGCAATACGTGCCTGTGGTAACGGAAAGCTCGCCCCGTGTTTCGCAGACACCGCGCCCGCTTATAAGAGCTATGGGATAGCTGTGTGCGCGGCTGGGCTGAGCGCTTGCTGAAGGCGAGCTTCCGCTGTTCTTTTGCAACGTGCATTCCGCACCATCAAGATTGTCGGTCTTAGCAGCCTATTAATGTGAGCTCGTTCTGAGCATGCGCTATAAAGACCGCCCTATATAATAATATGGCGTCTACTAAATGCCCTCTATACTCAACTTACTGTACGACTTTGTTGTTCATGAATATGCTTAGTAAGGGTACCGTGGAGCGATTTCCTGGTACCTTTAAATGACCTTCAACACTCAAACATAAAAACTTTTTTTTTTTTTTTTTTTTATATACGCGAAACGCAATAGTTACAGTCTTATATTTCCTTAGATGGACGAACAAAGTCGCACCAAAACCGAGCACGAAGCCGCGAGCCGCGTTTTAGCACGCGAAGAGCCTCATGCGGCTCGCGAGCCGCAGCTTCGCCACCCCTGGTATATCATGATGATATGTGACCCTGACACAGCATGATGCGTGGAACTGCTCTCGGCCGCTGTGAGAGGCGAGCGATTGTCTATGGATCAGTGTCAGAAATCCTAGCCCCCAGCGATAAAAACGGGAAATAATAGTCTCAAACGCAGGCTCTTGTGTAGAGAGGGGCTGCGCATCAAGCAAGATTTTTTGCTCTTTACAGCACTCTTGGCATCGGTGTTCTTCTTCGAGCTTCGTGACTATGCATTTCTGACGTTCTTGCTCTACGAAATGTGTGACGGTTTCTAGAAAAAAGAGGAGTCCTGCCAAAACGCAGCAAAAACGCAACAAACATGGCGGCGCCCATGGAACAGGGCAAACATTGGTCTATACTCGGAGGGAGGGGGGGGGGGGGGGTGGCGGCAATTGTTGGCTATGCTGTCAGAGCTATGGGCGCACGTGCGCTTACGCACCTTGAGTGCCTATCAAAGCTGTGCACGCGCACTCTTCACTTCTGGAACGTCACAGAAAGTTATTTCGGAGTCTAGGCCGTCATATCTTAAGCGCGCACGCAAATGTCTCAACTCTCCACCAAAGGAGGAAATTAGTAACACTCGGCGAGGGGCGAAACCTTTCTTTTTCCTCTTCACTACGGTTGTTGAGGTGACGAATATGCGCGGTCTTCTCGAGAGCCCAAAGACACTCTCCGTACGGTGTATTACCGAAGCGGCGAGAACGCGAGGTCGGCCGTGCAGCTGTCATGGACGGGTTGTCTGCGTTCCGCTCCGCCGATCCCGTAAAGCGTGCCGGCTGCGCGCAGCACTAACCCTCACACACACGCACACACACGCCGCCGTCGCCGTGAAACGGTTTCGCTCCGGCTTTGTTTCACTTTTGTGCCCCGTCTTGGATGGACAGAGACCCGTACGACAGAAAACGAGCAGAACACATGAACCGCGTACACGCGAGCAGCGATCGTCTCGCCTCAGGGGGTACTGTGGAGGTCAAAGCCGGCACGAATACCAAAAAAACAAAAAAGTTGCATCAGGAGAAAAAAAAAAAAAAAAAGGTAGGCATTTTACAAGACGATTGCGGTGTCTTTTCTTGAGCGCGGAGACCTTGCCGTCGTCGACGTGACCCAGTAATAGACCCCTTTTCAAAGGTGCGCGCCATCTACACTCGTTCTCACAGTAACTCCAAGCGCAGCTGGCGATGTACCGTCCGGGGGAAACAATCAAGTCCCTCTAGAAGAGCATCGTCCCGGCACTCCTCGTCCTTGTGTCTTTGCTTTCAACGGCTATAGTCGATGACAGGTTAAGAGTAAAGTGGAAACTCTTTCTAGCTCTCATCCCCCTTGGCAGAGTGAACGCTGTAGAGGAGGTGACCTCCTCTCCAGCGTTCGCTCTGCTAAAGTGGAAAGGGGTGGGAGGGGCTTCCACTTCTCGTAACCTGTCGCCGACTTTAGTCGTTTGCAAGTACGGTCTCTAGGCGCCGCCATCTTGCTACTGGTGGGGGTACATCGCCTGCTAGTCAAGCATTGCTGACGCCTGCCCACGGCCTCAGCAATGCTTGACTATCAGACGACCTACCCACATCAGGAGAAAGATGGCGGTGCTCAGGGGCCATGCTTGCAAACGTCTATAGATCAGTCGCGGTGAAAGCAAACGGACAAAGACGACGAGCGCCGTGACGATGCACTTTTGGTGCTGTTGGATTGGCTCCAGCGGATCGTTGCGTCGGCTGTGCTCGCACTTGGTGTAAAAAAATGGAGAAGCTGCGCTGCACCAATTAGCCGGTTCCGCCATTGTTTTGTAAATGCACGCTGAGCGGTCATTGGACACGAAGGGGCGCGTCAGCGGTCGGCGAAGACTCGGCTCAATTATCACGCGCTTCGCGACCCCCCAAAAGGAATGGCGACCTCCAGTGGTGCTGGATTGGATTTTGAGAAGAGTATAGTTCTTGTCCTCCAACAAACTGGGTCGATCAGTTGTCGTTGTCGCGTATCTGTGTTTGCGTGCGCGTGCCACCATTCATCATCGTGCAAAGCGGCCGATATGTGTGTCCCTTGTTGCTGCTGCTTCGTCGTGTGTAAGGTTCGCGATGTTTGTCCTCGCCGTGGCCACCGACGACGGCGATGATGATGATGAGGATCTTGTCGTCCGCGAGGAAACGAACCTTGACACAATTGACGGTGATTTATTTTCTTTTTTTTTTTTTTCTTTCGGAAGCTGCGTTTTAGCGAGCGTTTAGCCTAATAGCCCCCTTGGCTATCGATCGGCCTTGGTCAGTCGCGTCTCTCTGGTTATTTTTGTGCGTGAGTGTGTCTGTGTGTGTGGGCTTCTGTTTGATCGCCTGATGTGAGGTGTCTTCGTCACGCTGCGATGAGTTTGTCCGTCCGCGTTCGAAGATGTGTGAAAGCATCGGCGGAGAATGTTACTGCATTGGACAAAGAACGAACCCCCCTCCCCCCGGATCGCAGGGTGTTCATCGAGCACAGTTGTTGGAAAGTATAGACCGGCGCACTGTTTACAAACAGGACGCCCTTTGCTCACACCAGGTATGGGCAATGCGCGTCCGCGTATGCGTCGTAGCGACAGCAGCGCCACCGCACACTGGCGGCATCTATCGAGTAGCCCTGGAACAATTCCAATCTGCGTACGTTTTACGCGCCATTCTTTCACCGTGTGCTTGAAATAATTCTTACAACGTTATATACGCGACTATTTCTCATAGCTATAGTGCGTAGATTCGATCTCGGAGAGTCAAACGCAGACGTCTGAACCAGCTTACTTCCGTGCAGTGGCGTCCTTGGGAGTCTGCGAGGGTCGTACCGTTCACGCGAGGAATGGACCCTCGGCGAAGTCACGATCGAATTGCTCGTACTTGGGATCGGAGCGGGAAAGGGTGTGTGAACCTAACGACACGATGGATTCGGACGACGAGTGGTCGTGGACAAAAGGACCTAGAGATCACGATCACCGCTAGTCTGTCTCGTTACCGTCGCTCAGTAGCGTGCATGGTGTGTGCGGGTGTCCTTTGTACGTACGTTCCTGAATGCTTGTGCACCTAAACGCGCATCTCATTTGTGGCGCCAACATGTCAGGTCGTTGACTCCGGACCAGTATTTAAAACAATTAAAGACGTTTACAATTCTCTGTAATGCGAAATTAGTGCGCAGCTCTTGAAGAAGAGGAGGGTGGGGGGGTATGCCTTTCTTCCCCGTCCGTACCCTCCCCTCCCATTTAGCGGGAAATTTAGCGAACATTTTTCCGCTAAATTTAGCGGGGAAATTTTGTGGAAATGTCCCCGTTAAACTTAGCGGGTAAACTGTGACGTCCCACTATGCAACGCGCGCGGTTGCTCTGACGCCTACTCCGCTCAGCCCGGAAACAAGCGCCTGAAAACAGCGCTGTAAATAAAAAAAGGGGAAAATGAGTTTTTTTTAAGGTATTTCTGGAAGGTCATACCAAGATCACTTAGATATCCCCCTTTCTTTCCTTTTCTCCTTTTCTCTCTCTCTCTTTCTCACTCACTCACTCAGTTGCAGGCACGCACACCACCCTAAGCAGCGACATGTACTATTTCACGCGAGCTTCAGTTTCTGGCCAACAGAAGCAAGTTCCTACCTTTGAGATCATCCAGGATCAAACCGTGTAGCTTCCATGATCAAAACAAGCAAGACTAATGATATTGTAGTGAGTGCGCAGGCGAGCTGGTGGAAATTAACCATTCTGATGTTAGCCTGAGACTGAGGCAGGAAAAGAGGAAGTTTCAAAGTAGAAGAAAAGGAACAGTCGAGGATACGTCTCTACTAGAGACGTAGAGACGTATCCTCGACTGTTCCTTTTCTTCTACTTCGAAACTTCCTCTTTTCCTGCCTCAGTCTCAGGCTAACATCAGAAGAAGCAAGACTAGTCTCGGTTCCCGTGGCCGGTGCTAGCCTTCCGTGCGTCAACTTCCAGTTGGGGCCCATGGTCACGTGAGGGGTCGTGCCCTAAAGTTAACTTCCCCTTGTTGCACAGGAATGGGTATTTAGGGATGCCTCTTTCTCACGGTAATCTTGGTAACCGAGACCGCGGGACATGAATCGGACGGACGTTTATAATGTGTTCAACAGGGTGTCTACCCAGATATGTTTGCCGCTCCCGTTTGAGCCGTTTGGCCTGCAGTATGTTTAAATAAATTAATAGTCTGAAACCGCTGTCTCAAGCTTTTCACCTTCGCTAGCTGTCCGCCCACTTTGTAATGCAGAGTATAATTCGGCCAGAAGTGCTTTGCTTGAATCGAAGTACTACTGTACAAATTCAGACAGTAGACAAATTCAGACAGTAGAGAAACACGTGCTGGGAAAAAAAAATCAAATGCAAGAGAAAGTGGTGTCAGTGCTAGCTTACGATGTAAGCTCGTTTGGATAACGTCTGTTGCCTTCCTCTCACGCAGCCATGCCCTTGATACCAGTCCCTGGGCCGAGCTTGGAAACGGCCTCCTGTCAGGGTGCCGACAGTCCTGGTGTGAGGGCGGGCCCTGAAGGTGACGCCCATCATCAGGTCGCGGTTTCTGACTGCGAAGAAACTACAAGGAGTTCTAAACGGCCGAAGAGAAGAACCCGACCGCCGAAGGAGAGGTCCAAACCGACGTCACAAAAGACTGACCAACCATCTAACGTTAAGTCATTGCCGCCGTTGAATACAACAGCCTCCTGCCATGACAGTGACAGTTCTAATAGTAGGGCGGACCCTGAATACGAAGTTCATCACCAAGACTTGGTCTCTGACTGCGAACTAGCTACCACCAGTCCCCAACGGACGAAGAAAACAAGCCGACGGCCAATGAAGGGGTCGAAGCCAACGGCACGAAAGAAGCGACCGTCTGAGGTTGAATCATTGCAGCCTTTGAAAACATCAGCCGCGCTTAAGGACATGGGTACTTTCAATGTGAAGGCGGACACTGAAAGTGACGCTCATCGGCAAGCTTTGGTTTCCGGTTGTGAAGAAGCTACCACCAGTCCACAACGCCCAAAGAAAGCAAACCAGCTTCCAAAGAAGGCATCGAAACGAACACCGAAGAAAACTGCCTTACCATCCAAGGTTGAGTCCACGCCGCTCGCGAAGGCTTTCGCGAAGACTACACCACGAAGTCGGCCTCCGTGTTCCATGGCCGTTGAAGCGAAGTCTTCCTCGCCTCCTTCCACTCCGAGGGCCCCTCAGAAGAGGACGTCCAAAGAACCTTCTTCCTGCAATGGTCCATCGACGTCGAAGCGTGGAAGGTCCAACTCAGAGTCCAGTTCCGGGGAAAGCGGCGACGTCGTGACCTGGTGCAAGTCGTGCCGGAAGAGACTGAATCCTCCCGAAGTCGTCAGCTTCTCCGTAAGTCAAGCACTTCACATTCAAACCAGCGATGTAAAGACAGGAGTCCGAGCAGGTGTGGTTAACGTGTGGTTACATTAAAAGTATATAATGTTTTATCCTTCTACTGGATACTTTTTGAGGGGTCATTGACAGTTTTAATTTCGGTGTAGGGTCTAAGCTTACTGGCACATTTAGTGTGGAAGAGTGTGTCTCCTAGTTGTACGGTTTCCTTCGGCGTCTGGAAATACTTATATTAATCACGTCCCGTCAAAGCACTGCAGATAAAGCAGGCGGATCCTTAATGATGTGATCTATAGCCTAAGGATTCTCTCTGCCACCTGTTCATAAACAAAAGGAAGAATCAGCGAACGCAGTTTCCTCAACATTTTCAGTTGTTTTAGCGCAGATCAGTGCCAACTGTACAGTTAATTTGAACCGTCTAATGTTATCACCTTTGCTCCTACAGGGTGATCCAAAGACTGCTGTCGAAGAGTTCGTTGCCCTCATCGACCCTCGCTTGACGTCTTCACTCTGCAGCCAGGATGACCTGACGGAGCAGCCTCAGTTCAAGATCACTCGTTTCACGGTCTACGACGAGTACGGCCACGTTTGCCCTTTCGATAGTGGCCTCATCGAGAGCGACGTACCTCTCTACATGAGCGGCTACATGAAGAGCATTTGCGCCGAAGACCCGAGCACCAAGGATGGCGTGCCGGTGGCCAAGCTGGGACCTATTGTGTCCTGGTGGACGACGGGCTACGACGGCGGCTCCAACGTTGTTTTGGGAATCACGACGGCCTTTGCGGAGTACATTCTCATGAACCCAAGTCCGCAGTACAAGGTTCCGATGAAGCGGATGCAGGAGAAAATCTACCTCGTCAAAGGAATCCTTGAGCACCTTCTGGAAGCGGGAGTGGACGTGGCGTACGACGACGTCGTAGGACGTATTGAACAGTTGACAACATTGCCGCAAGGAGTTGGACCGTTTTCGGTCGAGACGGTCCACAGGCACGCGCAGTTTCTAGTGGATCACATCCAAGCGTACGATGCTGCGGGTGGCGGTAGTGACACTCCCCTGTTAGGCAGCGTGTTTGTCAAAGACCTCACTCGAGCCACAGGAGCAGTTATCAGGGACACTGGGAAGAAGAATCAGCCTCTCGCGGTCGGAGGAAAGAAAACTAAGAAGGCAGAGTCAAAGGCTTCACTGCAGTTATTGATGCCTTCCGTGGAGAAAACAATCTTCGAGCTGTTCCAAGACAAGGAACGTGTGGTGGCAAACCAGGCAGGCACGAGGAAGGGTAGGTGCGGATTCTGCGAGGCTTGCTTGGCCACAGACTGCAAGCATTGCGTGTTTTGCAAGAACATGAAAAAGTATGGAGGCAGTGGCACGTTCAAGCAGTGCTGCGTCCGGAGGCGTTGTGATAACAGGGATGTCCGCGGTAACGACGATCATCTTGGGGTTGACTTCATGGACAAGACGCTGCCCTCTTTGCCGAAGAAGCCTTTTGCTAAGCGCAGATTCCCGCCTGCAGCGGGCACCGTGCGGAGCAACTGGCTTTCTCCGCCGTTGAAAATCAAGGAGAACGCTGTGTTCTACTCATCAGTTCGGGTTGGGGAGAGCCTGACAGTGAGAGTAGGGGACGACGTCATCGTTATATCTGGTTACCCTCAAACCCCGGACTACGTCGGAAGGGTGGTCGCTCTGCTTGAAACTACCGACTCAAAGAGCTTCGCTCATGTGGTCTGGTTCAGAAGATACTCGGAGACGGTGATGGGGAACGTGTTTGGGGATCCGGCCGAAGTCTTCCTCACGTCGGAGTGCGACGACGTTCCACTCGCAGCCATCAGTTCGATATGCAGCGTGGACCTTACTGGAGTTAGGGTTGACAATCACATCGAATCGGAGGGAACCAAGCTCCGGTGCAACTTCTTTTGTGACGCAGCGTCTTGCGTGTTCAGGGCTCTGAGCTTAGAGGAAGGCGTGACTTGCGGATGTCGCATTCTTTTAAACATCGATAGTGACGCTGACTCAGAAGACGCTTCTTATGAAGCAGGCGACTGCGTCTTTGTGAAACCAGAGGCTGTCGCAATGCCGCGGGGTTGTTTAAATGGGGATGGCAACGGCGCACTGGTAGCGTCTGACAGCGAGAGCGACGTGTATTCTGAGCGATACCGTAAACTGCTGAGGCCTCCTAAGATCGAAGACGCTGCACTGCCCGAACCATACCGTATTTGCCAGATTGTTTCCATCAAGAAGGAGAGTGGATCAGTAATAGTACGGGCCTTCTACAGAGCTCAAGAAGTACAGCAGGACTCTACGGATAACTATCTGCTCTTGTACTCGGTGACGAGCTTCGAAGTCAGTATGGCCGACATTGTGTCAAAATGCCTAGTCATCTACAGACCCGAGGGCTTTCTCGCATCGAGCCTCGACGCTGTAAAAGCTCCGTTTTACTTTAGGGATGGGTATGACGTGGCTACTGGCTTCTTTCAAGTTTCCCACGAAACTATGTCGATTGAATTTAATGCGAAGTCTGACTGTGTAACCGTGAAAGAACTCTTCCCTAGTGTGGATGTCTACTGTGGATCCGGTGGCCTCTCGTTGGGTCTTTGCGACGCCGGGCTGACCAACCCAGTCTTCGCCGTCAGTGACATTCCTGCTCACCGCGATACTTTCAAGAACAACTTCCCGGATGCCGCTGTGCCTTCGAGCGACCCCAAGACCGTTCTGAAGGAGCTTTCGACATTCGGAGTGGCGAAATTTCTGGGTAGCACGCAGAGGGAAGATATATTTCTTTTGTGCGGAAGTCCGTCTTTTGAATCTTTGAAAAATTTCCGGCCGCTACTCGGAGTCGACAGCGAAGCTTTCCGAGAATCCCAGGTCTCCACGTTCCTCAGCTACTGTGAGTTCTTTGAGCCCGAATTCGTGGTTCTGGCGGCTGAGAGGGGAATGGTACGATACCACAACGGTGCCGTGCTCGTGTTCGTGCTTCAGTCTTTCCTGAACCTTGGGTACCAGGTGTCATGCAGCGTTCTCCAGGACGGCTGTTACGGGCTGCCACAAAGGAATCGCCGACTCATCATCCTCGCTGCAAAGAAGGGCCAAATCCTCCCTTCTTTTCCTCAAGCCACACACACCTTCGAAGTGACTGAGAACGAACTGTCCTTTGTGGTCAACGGCAGGGTGTACTCGAGTCCTCTAGTATCAACGCCTGCGGCACCCTTTCGCCGGATGACTCTTCGGGATGCCATCGGCGACCTTCAGGAGGGCTCCACGTCTTCCAACAGGTCCAACTTGCAGAGCTACCCACAACGCGCAAACTTAGGTGACCCAGTCTTCAAGAAGATGACGCCGCTTGCTCAGGCGCGATTGGCCGCCATACCTAAAATACCCGGTGCGGACTGGCGCGACCTCCCGAACATCGAGACTCGACTGTCGGACGGCACAACCGCCTACAAACTTTACTACACCCACCAGGGCATTCAGCACAACGGCGAGCGACGAGGTGTCTGCGCATGCGCAGGCAGCGATGATTCGGTGGCGCAGTGCGACCCCATGTACCGTCAGGAGGACACGCTGATCCCCTGGAGTCTCGTTCATACCGGTCACAAGCAAGACCACTGGAACGGCGTTTATGGACGGCTACAATGGAGCGGTTACCTCCACGGCACAGTGGCTAACCCGGAGCCTCTGAGTAGGCGCGGCCCCGTGATCCATCCCGAGCAGGACAGGGTGGTCAGTGTCCGAGAGTGCGCCAGGGTGCAGGGCTACTCGGATGACTTTCTGTTTGTGGGCACGGTCCTGGAGCAGTACAAGCAGATTGCCGCGGGTGTGCCGCCGTTGGTAGCGTGCGCTGTTGGAGCGGAAATACTCAAGGTCTTGTGAGCATTCCGTGCGAGTACCGTATCGGTGCGTTCTCCGTTGAGATCTGGTCAATTGGTTTAAATGCGCATCAGGGTGCTCTTCTTTTAAGGTAGCATGTATAACTGTAAGTGGCAGCCCTGTGTCATTTCTGTTTTGGTGCTGAGGAACACTGCACACCCAGGAAAGTGAATAACAGGTGGTCGTAAGCTAGTGTGATAGATTGATTATGGCGTGACACCAGAGGGATACTTGGTTACAATTCATGGCACCAAGTTTTCGGTGCGTTAATTAAGCATACCTCTGTGTAGACAATTCATTGAGACTTACTTTCTTAGTGTGCAGCTCCGACAGTCCTTTTTGGTGATATCTATATATTTTCTTTTTTTTTAGTTTAGATAGTATTTGATGGGTGCATGATGTTAATGTTTTGTTCCAGAGGCAGTAACAGTTGCGTTTCACTTGAGAGTTCAACAACGAATGTATGTCTGCTAGTCATGGTCATTGTCTCGGTTTCTTTCTCAGCTTTTAGGTTTTCGATTTGAAATTTTTCTGCCAATTCAAAGAAGCTATTTCGCTACACTACAGATATGTGACAAAATATAATAGAATACCTTTCTGCAATTTATGCAAACAACTCTTCACAATTCGTGCCGCTTTTCAGAGAGTCCCGTTAAAAATGTTACTTCTAAGCGTCAAAGTGAGGCGCAACAGGTTTATATGGAGGCGTGCAAGTTCATAGCAGTACGTGTCGACATTCCTCTCATTTATGCCGTGCGATCCACTTGTTTTTAGTGTTATATGGATGTATGTCCGCAATATTTTCGGTTGTGTATTCACATTTATTCCAGAGCAAGTTTCCGTTTTCTCCTTTTCGCAGACCAGATTTGAAATGACAGTTTTCATCATAGTTTCATGGACTCACCCTTAAAAGTGCACTAAAGACGTTTCCGAAATCGTCAGTTCTTGGTGATAACTCATCCTACGGGATCTTAGCATCTCAGAAATTGAAGCACTATGCTCGTGCGACGTCTATTTCCGTACTAAAAACGTGATCGAAGCTCGTGCCACGCCCCTTTGTGAGAGGAAAAATCAGGAGTACAGAACCCAGCGGAGGCGCCGGTGGCGTGACGGCGGGCGCGCGTCAGCCAATCGGAAGCCGCCTCTCTCGGAAAGGCGGCTTGCGATTGGCTGACGCGCGCCCTTTGTCACGCCACCGGCGCCTCCGCTCTGGATTCTGTGTTCCTGATTTTTCCTCTCACAAAGGGGCGTAGCACAAACTTCGATCACATTTTTGTAGGTAAATACTAATAGACGTCGCACGAGCATAATATTTGGATTTCTAGGATGCTTCGAGAGCGTAAGATAAGTTATCACGATCTTAGAAACGTCTTTAGTGCACCTTTTGGGGGGCGTTTTTTTATGTTGACTTCAGTGAATGATCAAAACTTTTTTGCTCACCCCCGCAGTACAAGTCTTTCATATGGTGGAGCATTCCTGCAGGTCACGTGCAGCTATAGGTATTGTATTGATTGGTTCTTCCAGTTATTTGTTTTGCGCGTATTTTTGAGACATTCCAACCTTGAATGCGTCATTTTTCTTGTCTCTACGTTCGTATATCTCGTGTCAACGGTTTCGCTTATTTCTTATTTTTCTATCCCTACCTATTTGGTTCCTTTGGTGTTCGACACGATCAGCATCTCGTGCTTGGAGAGTTTTATTAATAAAGGTTTTATGACATTTCGATCCAGTCGTTTGATTATTCCCGTTAATTGTCGCTTGCTAGTCTTCGGTTTGTGACTATGCGGAAACACGAACTGCCGGAACCTTTCAGCTAAAGTCACCGACAAGGTGGGAACGGCAAGAAGGAGCTTCAGTCGTTCCGCCTCAAGCGCGAGTTACGTAGATTCGGCGAAATTGACTTCTCATGAGCACGGAGCACAATGGAAGGTAACCAAAGCACGATTGAAGGCAGCGAGTGTGTGCTAGATTTCAGGCTTCTAAAGTCGACGTCATACCGTTCTTATTGTGGCGGCGACTTGCATCATTGCACGCCGATTCATGCCCCGGAGCTACAGTCAAGTTGTCTTACTTTTACTTCGGTATGTAAGACATTGCATCTCATCGGGAGAGAATAAGGCATGTGTTTCCGTGTATGGAAACTCCGTTCAATTCGAAAGAAAAGCAAGGGAGAACGGGATTTCACATTGGGAAGTACTTCTGAACAGGTCATCGTTTGTTTTCAACCCGGAAAGTTTTTTTTTTTTTTCTTGCGTATAGAGACGTAGGCGTAGGAACATTGGTACACATTTAGGAACTTCCTTGGGGGGGCGGGGGGGGGGGGGGGAGGAGGGGAGGGGAGGGGAGGGGGCTCTAAACGAACGTTTAGACGGTATTACATCGTAATATTTGACTTCTGAACTTTCTACGATATACTCGAGTTTCACCTAAAAATTTTGATTTGGGTTTAGAAAACAACCTCGGTTGTTTTCCCAGCACAAATTGAGCGGAATGTCCATGTAAGAGCCTAAAACAAAATGGATGGCCGCCGTGCAATAACGCTCAATTCATTGTATATGACAAGCCCTTGGACGATTGGCTCCAACTTTGTTTCTGCCGACTCCAATCGATTTCAGATGTACTTCTTTTAGTTGCACCATATATTTCAATTGGTGTCCTTGGTAGCTTTATCGTAATCTTTATTGGCTCAGGAGAGCCGTGGCACCGCGGAAAGGCGACAGCCCGTACCATGGAGGCCCGCGGTGCCACGTCTAGTGATGATGATTATGAGATGATATATACAAGGGGGGGACGACGCGGTCTTCTCAACATCGCAAGCACCGTTGCTTGAAGGTTCGGGGTTTGCCAAGACACTTCTACCAGCTGTAAGAAGTGCCTGAGCAATGGGTGCTGTCCGGAGGCTTCACCGTGCGGCTGGGAAAGCCTTGGCGGTTTGATGGTGTTCAGGACGACGTGCTCTTCTGATCCGCCGCACGAGTCTTGGAGGTTCCGCGGCGGATCAGGCCAGTAGGCAAGCGAGCCAAGGTGACCTTTTGTAGGCTGTTCAATGTAAGTTCTGGATGGTAAAGCCCTGGCGGTTGATGGTGCGCTCGCTCGCTTCGTTGAAGGCAGCAGCTCCAGGTGATGGCCCAGTCAAAGTAGACGGCTGCCACCCCCGATGCATTGACGTCCAGGGCTAGAACGTAGCGCCGCGGTCACCCGGCGTAGCTTCCTGGCATCGTCGTCGTCGTCGTCGTCCTTTAGATCTGGCCCCACATCGGTGTGGTATATTGGCTTGTCTTGCCAGTGGGCTGTCACCGTACGCCCGCCAACCACGCTGCTTGGGACGTTGCTGATTTTTCGCGCAAAGTATACTGAGTTGTTTCTCGTGGAGGTTGGAAACACTTGGAGGACGCTTAAAGGGCCACAGAAGTCGATTCTGAGATCGTCCTTTTGTGGTGACAACTCAATCTAGGCACTCTGAGCATCCCAACAAACTCGAAACTACAATCGTGCGTAGCTCATTTCCTTGTTAAAAGCATATTCAAAGATCGCGACACGCCCTTTTTCGGAAGAATTTTCTTCCGAGCGAAGTGGTCGACGAAGAGCGCTTGTCGGCGAGTGATAAGCGATGGCTTCGCCCGCGGAGAAAAAGAGGAGTCTTAGCCGAATGTGTACCTATCGGACTCTCTTCGAAACGAGATATAATAAAATCATGCGGAATCTGCGCGTATTGTAGGGCTTTCATTGGTCTACACAGTGTAGTCTTCGAGAGAAAATAGTCCACATGTTTTTCTATTGCCCCGAGATGGATTTTAGTATTGGACTTGGTATGTGTGCGAACTAACACATTTTAAACAGTATAGGATCAAAAACGACCTTTTTTTTCAAGAATGACTTCAGTGCCCCTTTAAAGGAGCTGTGCAACGATTTTAACGTTGAAGGAATTGGCATTTTCTGCTTTTGATATTGTTCACTGTGTCACAAATGGCAGAAAACACACCTCTTTTCATCGCAATGTTGCGATTCCGCCGCGTAATAGCGAGGCAAAACTTGGAATATTTCCCGACCTGCAGCCACGAGCGGCGGCCATGAGAAACAAGCGGCGTGACGTCACTTGGGTCGTTGTAAGAAAGATAGCAAGTTGTGCGAATACCTGCTCGATAAAAGGTAACTCTTTTTACAAATCTTGTCGTTCCAACATATATATAAATGCGTCAACACCCTGGTATCATCGACAAAACTTTTATTATACGGAGTTTTAGTGGCGCCATCTATCCTAGGTCCACAAAACCGCGAACAGCCGCCAGAAGCCGGAGGGGGAGGGGGACAGCGCCACACTGGCAAGGACGGGTGGTCACGCGGTCGGCAGCGGATGAGTTCTCGCTGCTCGCTGATGGCTCTAAAGAGAGAACTTTTCCGGAACTCCGCGCCTACTCTAGTGACGTCACTGTGCACGTGACCCGGAAGACGATGCACGAGTTGAGAGGCGGCAAAAACCTGGATCTTTTTCATTTTTTAAGTAAAAACTAGGGTATCCAGGCAAAATCTGTTTTCTGTAGTTCACTGCAGAAGTGTCAGGCATCAACTTCCACAATTATTTAAGCAAAGCCCTGAAATTGTTGCACAGCTCCTTTAAGCTTCGCCTTAAAGAGTGGAAGGCGATAGCGTTATCGGGCCCCGTTCGCATCGCCTTCTCATTAGGGAGTTTTCGTAGACCGCGTTGCCCCCTCCGCTAAGCGTTCCGCAACGAAGAAGTTGCTACTGCACCTGCGCGCCGATAGCCTTGACTGTGGAGTTCCCGCTATCGTAGCGGGTTGCGGAGGGCCTTGCGGGACGGCGAAAACGATCTACGAAAACTCCCTATTCACCGTGCAAGCGTGCCTTACGTGGCCTAGAAAGTAGCGTGTCTGGCTCGCAACCGAAGGTTCGTGGGTTCGTATCCCGCCCAAAATTCTTCAATTTTTTTCCTTTAAAGCAAATGAATTACTTTATAAAGTGAAATCATTTGAGAAATACGGCGACCTTTAATTCGGATTACATGTCATGTTTCAATCACTTTCATTTCACGCTTGACGTCGCGTGAGCGCTGTGAGTTTTGAAATTCCCGCGCGAAATGCTATGGCTGTGACGTCATGACCCTATCGACCAATCAGGATATTTCCGTCACGACGCCAACGACGCCGGCTTTTATGCTACA